GGAGGACGCGAGGATGGGGAAGGGGAGGGGGAAGGTTAGATTGGGGCTGCGGTTGGGCGGAGTGACGGAAGCGGTGAAGCGACTGCTGTTCGACTGCATGCGGCTTTCCAAGACAAACAGATCATTGATTTTAGGAGGGAGAAAGGTGATTTCAAAGAGGATGAAAGCGAAGCGAAATTAGTGTTGTCAAAACCAGGGGTAGGGATTCTGGGGCTCAAGTAAAACATACACAGATTACTTCTCTCCGATATGTCACATTTGATTTTTGAAATTTAGTGAACACAGAAAGAGTGTGAGATGGTTTAAGGTGAAACATATAGCTTCTACTAAAACAGAAGTTAGAAGACGTTTTATTTGTAAGTAATTTCCGTAAAACAATTTCGCACAGCCGAAATAAACTATTGTGAAAATACTGTACAACATCCACTGTTTGATACTCAAATGGTAAGTTTGAAATATGGTCTCTACACTTCATATCAATAATGTGTGCGACGAGCTACACAAATGCTACAGAACTGAAACTTGTAGAAGACAGCTTGTAGAAGGTAGCTCCAGAATTGTAACTTCAACTATTCGTTTGATAGGATTTACCAGTTTTTCCTGGAGGAAGGTTGTTAGGGACGAGGTAGAATTTTCCAGAGTCTATGTGTACAACAGCGACCTTATTACAGACGTATAATACTGCCAGTCCTTCATTCCAAGCCTTAGGTAGAATCTTCTCATTCTATTCTACTCTATATATGAGGTTCCTGAATCATAAATAGAAAGATATAAGTTGACGAGTATGAAGGAACGTTCTGAACTCTGTTTTCCCGAAAGCATGATGTGTCCAAGAATTTTGCTATAATTTTCATTCAAAATCAATATGAGACTACTCTATCTTCTTGAATATTACGAGTCTGTTTAATATAATAGTGTGAAATTCATAATTCGCTTGTATAAAAGATGTAGGAACATAGCAAAAGTATTTTGTCTGAAGTTAAGAAAATATTAGAAGCTTTTACTCTGAAAATATTTTCTCGTTGTAAAAAATATAATTTCGTATAAGGTAGGGAAAACATTTTGTTTGGGTTTTCGAGTTCAAAAGGAGAATTCGGACACATGACTAAAATATAGTTGAGACCAGGGGCTTTCTTTCTCAAAGGCATTTCCGATGCTACTATGCAATACTTCTATTTACGAAGGAGTTGGCGAGTTCATGAAAATTAGAACCCTTTGGAAACTGAAGGATGTTCTCGTGATAAGGGATGACCTGATTTGAAGAAAGTGATGCAAATACTAAGCCAATAAAAGTATTATACAATATATACCGCAGAGGTGTCTTAGGTAATAGGTCAGCTTCTCTGAAAGCTCAGCAGTGACTCAAAATGTTTTTTTTGAAAAGCAGAGATATTGAGAACTCACGAGAATCATGAAGTACAGTTGAAAGTTTATTTTTCTGAGAGAAATAAAATACTAAGTTTCTTCTGGTGAAAGGGAGTAGAATTTACGAGCGATATAAAACTTTCGAGTATTTTCCACTTAGAAAGTGCTTTACTGTCTTGAAAGTCAATAAACATTACCTTCGTGAAGTAAATATTTCTCTTTAAAGATCGATAGAATTGTGTTCGTCGAAGATTGCGTAGCGTTTCTTTCTGGATCAAGTTGAAATGATATCTTTGTTATGAGTATTTCTCTTGTAAGAAAGGAATTTTGTTAACTTAATTGGATAATATCGTCATTCCTGGTACAAACTGACAAAGTGTCTATTTAAAGCTAATAGTATATAATATTCGATGGAATTAAAATTTAATGATTTCGAGTTTTATTTTAGTCGAATTTAATTTTTATGGATCTTGCCTAGTCTTTTCTTAGTTAACAATTGACAACAATGTCCTAAATTTGTCTTACGATATTATAAAATACAAATGTATCAAAATATTATAAAGAAATGTATGCAATGATTAAGGAATTTAATATTTGCATATTATTTGTACCCTATTGTTATTTTTCCAGGGAATGTAGTATTAATACCGAACATTTTCCCTAATATTATTTATTGACTGGCATATTTGTTCGTAATACCTAGGTAAGAAATTTCATGAAGTCTCATCCACCCTGCAGAAAGGTAATTTCGATGCGAGTTATTTTTAAATACGTCTAATTTTATTTAATTTATAGCTCATAATGTTATGTACTAAATATGTCTCTGATACCCTGTTATAAAGATTCACTCTCTCTCTCCGTATAATATCTGTCATATTTGTCATATTTTGCATGCAAGTTGCGTCTTCAGAACACTTTCACTCCATAAATGTGTAATTTGCCGGAATATTTACGATAACATGGCACTATATTCCATGATTTTCAGCTTCAGTGCTGTTTTATTAGAAACAAAAAGCTTGTTTTTTATGAGACATGCATCACTCAAAATAATGTTACTGAAGTGAACTTAATAGTGAAATAAAGTGAAATGAAATTAATACTTGTCAATTTTGAGGAGAAAATTTGGAATATGGGGAAGGGTACGAGCGAGGGATGTTTTTTGAATTGGGATTTTGGAATTTTTGCATTTTGGATTTCTGGGTTGGAATGTTTTTTGTGAAAATATTGCTTAGGTATTCGTGAAAAGTTGTCACCATTCGATCAAAAAGTGCGCAACTCCTACTCGTACTTCGAAAAAATTGCAAATTGAAAAAAATTGAAAATTTTGAATTGTTTGTAGTTGTCCTTAGAGCTTTTATTGAAGTACCTCAAAAAATTACTAGATCAGTTTTAAATCCGCAGTGCTTCAAGTACGTTTAAGAGAAAATCCAATGTACGATTTAAGTGCTAATGTTGTTCACAAAAAAGACGGACAGAGAGACGCTTTTGAAAAGAAACAAACAAACAAACAAACAAACATTTTCGGTATCGAGGTCCCTCTAAATGTGTTTTTCCTTCTAAATCTGTAGATTTTATGCAGAATTTTAAGTTTCTCGGCACTATGTTTACGAGAAAGTAAAATGAGTTTACAGCAGGCAAAATCAAAGACCTGAAATTAGTGATGAATGATCCGTTGCGAATTTTCCCGAAAATCGCCCTATATCTTGCTGGCGCCCACCAAGTACTTCACTCGTCAGCACCAGACCCCCGCTGTGTCGCTTTCGTTCGCATCGTTCGGATCGTTGCGTCGCGGTGTCGGCCCGCGCCCTGCCCATGCGCAGGGTTTGCACGGGGCGGCCCGTGGGGGCGGGGTGGCCGCGGCGCGGCGCGGCGCGGCGTGGCAGAGCAAACGTTTGTGTCGGCCGATATCCGGAATCGATGGCTCGCTGCGTCCGGAGACCGGGCCACCCGGAGGAGGAGTCTGGCGTGCGTGGGCGAGGGCTGGGAGTGGCGGGGACGGGGGCGGTGCGGAGCGTGACGGAGGCGGGGACAAGGGTACAGCGAGAGCGAAAAGTGGATGCGTGGCGTGGATGCGTGGCGTGGATGCGTGGCGTGGATGCGTGGCGTGGATGCGTGGCGTG